GAGGGCGGGTCGTTTTTTACATGTTGCTGTCGCCTTAGGGCCTCGCACATTCGTTTTTTACACATTGCAAAAGCTTCACGGATTGAGGGCGGGCCGGTTTCAAAATGTGGCCCTCGCCTTAGCGCCGCGCACATTTGTTGAAACAAATGCAAAGAGTTCAACGGATTGAGGGCGGGTCGTTTTCAAAATGTAGCTCTCGCTTTAGCGCCGCGCGCATTTGTTGAAAGACTGCACAGAGTTCAACGGATTGAGGGCGGGTCGTTTTCAAAATGTGGCTCTCGCCTTAGCGCCGCGTACTTTCCTTTTAAACATTTGCAAGAGCTTCACGGGGTCAGGGCGGTTCCTCTTCAAAATGTGGCTCTCGCCTCAGCGCCGCGCACATTCGTTTTAAACATTTGCAAGAGCTTCACGGATTCCCACGATCAACGTACCAGAAAATCTGTTTTGGAAGGATTATTGATTATTCGGGCGCAGCAGTTCTGTTGATCTGCTGTGTTGAGGTCCCACAAATGGCGTTTTGGCACAATTCTGGGTCCTCAAGACGCAGCAGTCAGGTTGCTACGTGGCGTTGACATTCCGAGAACAATGTTTGGGCACGCTTTAGGATCTTCAACTGTCGTCTTCTACCGAGGCAATTCCCTCCGTGGAAAAGAGCCGCTGTAGGGGCCTATGAAGAGGGAGCTTGGAGGGAGGGTTAATTCCAACATCGTTGATGATTCTTGGGTTTTCACTGGTCCTCCTCCTCCTCCTCCTCCTACTGCTCCCTCCTACATTGGAGGCCCCCAGAAGTGTCTAAAGGCCTGAAGAAAAAGCACGAAGCCTTCAAAAGCTTGGCACCTCGATCCTCGACCCTTCTCCTGTTCCCTCCCCTCGGGAGGCCTCCAGCAGTCTCCAGAGGCCTGGCCAGAAGGGCACGACACTTTCAAAAGCCCGGCCCCTCGGCCCTCGGCCCTCGACCCTGAAACCCCGGTCCTCCTCCACCTCGATCCTCGCCTGGGAGGTCTGGGGCTCTCAGCATCGGAGCAGGGCGGTTTGAGACACAAAGAAATCAGAATCGCCTCCTCCTCCTCCTCCACCTCGATCCCTCTCCTCCTCCTCCTCTCCTCCTCCTCCTCCTCCTCCTCCTCCTCGCTCCTCCTCCTCCAACACCTACTCCTCCTCCTCCTCCTCCCCTCCTCCGCCTCCTCCTCGCTCCTCCTCCTCCTCCTCCTCTCCTCCTCCTCCCCCTCCTCTCCTGCTCCTCCTCCCCTCGCTCCTCGCGTCCTCCTGTGTGTCCTCAAGCGCCTGCTAAGGTGCCATCCAGACCACCGCCGCCCCCCTGAGCGCACGTCGGGCGCGAGGCGTCGAGGCCGTGCCTCGTGAGGAGCGAGGATGAGGAGGAGGAGGAGGAGGAGGAGGAGGAGGAGGAGGAGGAGGAGGAGAAGCGAGGAGGGCGAGGAGGAGGAGCGAGGAGGAGGAGCGAGGAGGAGGAAGAGCGAGGAGGAGGAGCGAGGAGGAGGAGCGAGGAGGAAGAGGAGGAGGAGGAGGAGGAGGAGCGAGGAGCGAGGAGTCGTGCAAGGTCGTCGGGCACCTCGGCAAGAGAGCCGCCCCGAGGACTCCCAGCAACGGGCGAGGGGGGGCCTCAGGAGCCAGGGGCGCCGCCAAGGGGCACGCGGCCTGACAGCACCCAGCGGAGAAGGGCGCGAGATCGTCGGGCACTTCAGCCAGAGCCGTCCAAGATGACGACGATGCTGATGCTGATGCTGATGCTGATGCTGATGCTGATGCTGATGCTGATGATGGTGATGATGATGATGGTGGTGGTGATGATGATGATGATGATAATGATGATTATGATGATGACGATGATGATGATGATGATGATGATGATGATGATGATGTTGATTATGACGATGGTGTTGATGCTGATGCTGATGTTGACGATGATGTTGCTGATGCTGCTGCTGCTGACGATGATGATGATGTTGCTGATGTTGACGATTAGGATGATGATGATGATGATGATGATGCTGGTGATGTGATGGTGATGATGCAGATGATGGTGATGAGACTGATGATGATGATGCTGATGCTGCTTAGGATGCTGATGATAGTGAGTATGATTATGGTGGCGGTGCTGCTGATGTTGCTGAAGACGATGATGATGATGACGATGATGTTGATGATGGTGGTGGTGATGGTGATGCCGATTATGGTGATGGTGATGATGATTATGATGATGATGCTGATGCTGCTACTGATGATGCTGATGCTGATATACTCCCTAACGGTCACATGGCGTTTGCGAAAGAGCCGTGCAGCGTGTGCTATCTGCCTGGCCCGCGTGTTTGGGCGAAACGCCATGTTCGCAGTGCTGTCTGTCTGGCCCGCTTCCAACTTGTCTTAGAATGTGTGCCCCCCCTCGAGGCGTGTGCTATCTGCCTGGTGCGCCCGTGGGAAGGGGGAGCCTGCCCACCCCGCTCTCCCCTACCTCATCTGGCCACGCCCCCTGGCCTCGCTGCCCCCCCCGGCCACCCCCGGGGCAGTGTGCTATCTGCCTGGTGCGCCCGTGGGTAGGGGAGGGCTTCTTAGGAGGAGGAGGTGGAGGAGGAGGAGGAGGGTGATGTTCACGAGGTGCACGAGAGCAGCATGAGGGGGACGAGGACACTTCGAGCGGCGGCGCCGCGGTTGTGAGGATGTCCCGAGCGGCGGCGCCGCAGTTGCGAGGATGTGTCGAGCGGCGGCGCCGCGGTCGTGAGGATGTCCCGAGCGGCGGCGCCGCGATTGTGAGGATGTCCACGCGGGGGGGGGGGGGGGGGGGGGGGGGGGGGGGGGGGGGGGGGGGGGGGGGGGGGGGGGGGGGGGGGGGGGGGGGGGGGGAGCGGCGGCGCCGCGGTTGGCGAGGATGCCCCGAGCGGCGGCGCCATCCCGCCCCCCCCCTCCCCCCCTCTCCCTCCTACTCCCGCCGCCGCGGTCAGGCAGGCTCCTTGTCGGCGCCTCTCCTGGGCCCAAGGGGGCCCAGGAGGGCCCAGGCGTGTGCTATCTGTCTGGCCCGCTCCCCTCCTCCTCCTCCTCCTCCTCATCCTCCTCCACCTCCTCCTCCTCCTCTTCCTCCTCCTCTTCCTCCTCTCTCTCCCCCTCCTCCTCCTCCTCGCCTTCATCCACGCCGGTTGTGAGGATGTTTCGAGCGGCGGCGCCGCGGTTGCGAGGATGTATCGAGCGGCGGCGCCGCGGTTGCGAGGATGTCTCGAGCGGCGGCGCCGCGATTGTGAGGATGTCTCGAGCGGCGGCGCCGCGGTTGCGAGGATGTTCCCGAGCGGCGGCGAACGATTGTGAGGATGTCTCGAGCGGCGGCTCCCGCGTCGTGAGGATGTCTCGAGCGGGCGGGCGCCGCGGTTGCGTTGGTGCCCCGAGCGGCGGCCGCCGCGGTTTGCGAGGATGCCTTCAAAAACGAGCGGCGGCGCCAAACCGCCCCCCCGCCTCCCCCCCCCAGGGCAGTGTGCTGATCTGCCTGGTGCGCGCCCTGGGGATGCCGCGGCGCCGTGGTCGTGGGGATGTCTCGAGCGGCTGGCGCCGCGGTTTTTTTTTTGCGAGGATGTGGGGGAAACGGCGGCGCCGCGGTTGTGGGCGCCCTCTCTGGGCCCAAGGGGGCCCAGGAAGGGCCCAGGCGTGTGGCTAGTCACTGTCTAGGCCCGCTCCCCTCCTCCACTCCTCCTCCTCTCTCCTCCTCCTCCTCCACCTCCTCCTCCTCCTCTTCCTCCTCCTCTTTCTCCTCTCTCTCCCCCTCCTCCTCCTCCTCCTCCTCCTCCTCCTCCTCCTCCTCCTCCTCCTCCTCCTCCTCCTCATCGCCTTCATCCACGCCGGTTGTGAGGATGTCCCGAGCCGCGGCGCCGCGGTTGCGAGGATGCCCCGAGCGGCGGCGCCGCTGTTGCGAGGATGTCCCGAGCGGCGGCTCCGCGATTGCGAAGATGTTTCGAGCGGCGGCGCCGCGGTTGCGAGGATGCATCGAGCGGCGGCGCCGCGGCTGCGAGGATGTCTCGAGCGGCGGCGCCGCGATTGTGAGGATGTCTCGAGCGGCGGCGCCGCGGTTGCGAGGATGTCTCGAGCGGCGGCGCCATGCCTTCCCCCCGCCTTGCCTCCTCTTGAGCGCGTGCCATCTGAAGTTTCCTCTCTGTGCTGTCCCTCTGGACTGTCCTCGGGTGAGGACACGCGCTCTATCTGATATGCACAGGTTCGGGGGTCTGGGGGTCATGCGGTGCCATGTGTTCTGGCTGCTTCTGCGCTCTATCTGATCGTCAGGGAGTATAATGGTTCCAATGATCTTGCTGCTGAAGCCCTCAGCTGCACCGCTGGAAGTTTGGTTGCTCAAGCAGTCGTGGCAAAAGTGTAGCTGCTAGCTGCAAGGGGCTGGGCTGCCCCAGGCTTGTGAGCTCGCTGGCTCAGCCTCATTGGGCCAGCAGCGGGCTGCGGAAAAGATGGCCTTAGTGCGAAAACGTCAAGCAACAAACTGATGAAGGAATGAACGCCCAAGGAGGATGAGACGGAGGAGCAAGACGGCGAGAGGAGGAGCGAAAAGAAGGAGGAGAAGGAGGAGGAGGAGGAAGAGGAGAAGGAAGAGGAGGAATGAGGAGGGAGGAGGAGGGAGGAGGAGGAGGAGGAGGACAAGGAGGAGGATAAGGACAAGGAGAAGGAGGAGGAGAAGAAGGAGGAGGAGCGAGAAGGCGCACCTCCGCTGCTCAAGTTCGCCCAACGTCAAAACATCGAGAAGGAACGAGAGAAGAGAAGCGAGGAGGGCCGATGAGGAGGAGAGATGAGGAGCGAGGTGGGGCGAGAGAACAGGAACGAAGACGAACGCGGAGGAGGAGCGAGATGAAGAGGAGGAGAGGGAGGACGAGGTTCGACGAGGAGGATCGAGGAGAAGGAGGAGGACGAGGAGGAGGAGGAGCGAGGAGGAACGACGAGAAGCGAGGCGCAGCGAGGAGGGCAAGGGCGAGGGCAAGGGCAGGGGCGGCCAGAGCCGCCTGGACCGACGACGTACGCCGCGGCAACGAGGCCGCCCTGGGCACCCATGATGGCGCCGCGGAAGGGCAGCACGTGCCGCTTGCTGGTCAGTTCTCCGCGGGGGGGGGGGGGCGCGAGGTGCTGATGGTGACGGTCCCGACCCTCCTCCCTCCTCCTCCTCCTCCTCCTCCTCCTCCTCCTCCCCCTCCTCTGGTGACAGTGATAGTGAAGGTGACGTTGGCAATGATGACGGTTTGTTTGGGGATGGCGACGGTGATGATGATGATGGTGATGATGGCGGCACGGATGGTAGTGGTGATGGTGGTGGTGATGATGATGGTGAGTGCGGTGGTGCTGATCTTTCTTTCTCTCTGGCCCATAAGACCCCCTTCGCGCCCGCAGCCGACAGCACCCGGGAGAATTTTCGGCGGGCTGGGATCACCGTCGCGAGGCTGAGTTCGCGGGAGGCCCCTCTCGAGCCCGCGGGTGTCCCACTTCACGCTCGCGAGTGACACAATACTCGAGAAGATCTCAGGTCAAGAATCACTGGCCCCCCTAAGTGGCGCGGGGACAGCACAAGGGGCAAGAGGGCCCCCGCCGACCAGTCCAGCAGGGCACGCCCAGAAGCCTGAACCTCGCCCACTACTGCGCAACAAAAACAAACCAAACGTGACCAGGTACCTCTGCCAAAATTTCACTTTCGCATTGCTGCTAGAAGCGCGCTCCCCAGACTAGGCGCTGACGGATTTGCCGAAAGGCCGCTCAATGTGAACTGCGAGCCCCAGCCCGACCTGGTCGCGCCACCACCTACGAGCTATCCTCATCTCAGCGACATTCCTCCGCGGCACCGCGATGAACGCGACTGCTTGCTTCTGGATTGGTGCGCGTGGGAGCCGATCTCCTCTCAGTCACTGTTGCTGCTGCTCCTGGAACTCCCCGAACTTCACGAGGCCCTGCACGACTTGCCGAATGTTGGGGTTGCTCGGCGGGGCCCCGCGCTGAGCTCGACCTCGGGTTCGGGGGCAATCGCGGCCATGACCTCGCTCGGCGCTGCTCTGACCTCCGGGGTCGCCATGAGCTCGATCTTGAAACGGCCCTTGTCGCCCCAAGCTTTCTGCCGAAATGCCTTCATCGGTTGCGCGCGAGGGCGTGGCCCCCGGTCACCTTGAGATCCGACTGGCTGCCGTGGCGCGCGCTCAGGGCCGTCTTCTCCCCGCCGGGGACGGACCCGCCCTGGCTCGCGAAGTTCGCGAGCTCGACCCACGTGCGGCCATCTCCTAGGACGGCGTTGTCGCTTTCTCCTCGTTGTCGTAGCGCGCGCCTTGCTTTGTCGCATGGATGAGGCTCTGCTGCGATCGCCGCCCGTCCCAGGGCGCCCTGCGTCCGCCCGTTGGACCAGTCAAAGCCCGCCACGCTCTTGGCTAATTACGTCGATGGTCCGCTTCCTCGCGCCCTGATCCACGCTCGCCGAAAAAACTGCCTTGCGCTCGGCCGCCGGCGCCCCCGACGCCGCCGCCGACAACTTGTCGATCTTCGAGACAGCTCTGCAAATCCACGAAAGCACCGTCGGAGACGCGCGCTCGAACGCGCGCGCGCGCAGCGCAGGCAGAGATGGGAAAGCCGACGGCGCGCAGGAGAATCGGCACGCGAGAGTGGATGGGGACTGAAGTCTGGCCAGCACCGGAATCGCGGAGCCCCCTTCCTCGGGGCAGCTCGGAGGACCCTTCCGCCCTCGAGCCTCCGAGCGCCGGCGGACCGCGCCCGCGCTCGAGACGCACTTGTCGCGCCGAATTCATTGATTGCACGCGGCCGTCTGCCCGCCGAGCGCGCGCGTCATGACGATGTCTTCGAGGAGTTTCCAGCTGTCGCGACGCGTGACGCGCGCGCGCGCCCCTGCGCCCGACGCCCTCCAGGAGGTCGCGCGCGCGGGCGCCCGGCCCATTCGCGATGCGAGGTTGCGGTTTTGGAAAGCGAGCACTGCGCCGCAGAAGGTCGGGCGGAGGACGGAAAACCGAATTTCGGGCTCTAACGGGCCGAACCACCCCCCGCCTTGAGGGGCATCTCAAACTCGAGGCTTCTCGCGACCCAGAGCCGCAATATGTATCCCTCGACAGCAGATTCGCGCGGTGAGTTGGTTTTCCTCTGGGCGCGACGCGTCAATGACCTTCTCAGACGCGACCTGTGAGAGCAGCGAGCGGAGCGGCGCTGTCTTGAGGACGTTGAGCAATTTTCAGAATCCGAGCCAGCCCCCAATCGCGCGACGCACTCGGCTGCAGGGGTCGCCAAGATGGAGCGCACCTGCGTGTTTGACAGGGCGGGGCAACGGGCGGGGCCCCTCTGGTCGCCGCGCCCCTCGCCGCCGCCCATGAGCGGCGTCCGACCATGAGTTTGCGCGGCGCGGCCCACCTGAAACTGAGCTGCCGCGGGGGAAGCCAAGCCCCCCATCCAGGGAGCTGCGAAGCACGGCCCCTGCCCAGGAGTACAAGGCGCTTCCTTTCACGAGGATGCCCATTGCCTTCTGGCCCCAAAAATGCCCCGCGGCCGCCCCCCCCTTCCCGGGCACTTCCCCCCCGCGCCCATGCTCGCGACGCCCCCGCTCGTCTGTCTGATGGCAAGCTCCAAGATGGCACGCAACTTGCTTCGCCTCTCCGGAGGCCTGAAGCCGCCAGTGAGAAGCCTTCATCCCGGCGGGGGGCCCTTTCCCGCTCCGCCGAAACATCGGCCCTTTTCCTGTCGAGATCCTGCAGAAGGTTGATGGGGGCCCGCTATGAACGTTTCGAACTCAGCGCCCCGGCGCTCGATTTTGCGCGCGGCCTCCGCGGCCCCGTCGGCAAAACAAGAACGCTCTAATTCATCGGCGCACGCGCCGCGTAAAACATCTTCGGCAGTTCGGGGAACGGGTTCCGTGATCGGGAGAAAAAAAAAAACGCTTGCTCGGATCTGGTCTGGTCGACCCACTCGCCCACCGCTGCATCGAAGCCCCGCGGGAAAATGTCAGTCGCTGACTGATCCCCCCGCAAGTCCCCGCACCCTGGAGCGAACAAGCCCCGCCTCCACTAATCAGTCTGAGCCAGTGTCACGGCGAGTCGGTGATTGCCGACAACCGAAGCTGCCAAAAAAAAAAAAAAAAAAAAAAAAGAGAAAACAAAAAAGAAGAAAAGCTTAGTGTCACGGCGAGTCGGTGATTGCCGACAACCGAAGCTGCCTCCGCTGCCTCCAGGGCCCTATAGATGGTCGGTCGTAGAAGGCGGCGAACCACCCGCGAGCCAGCTCCGACTGCCATCGCGCAAGCTGGCGCTGCAAAATCAGCTGCTCGCGACGCCCGCCCTCGCGAAAGTCCGCGCTGCGACGCGTCGGGCGCCCTGGCCCGCGCTGCCGGGCGGCCCCGGCGAAGGATTTTCAAACGGGGCCGAGATGGTTAACTAGACGCTCCCCATTGCACTTGATATTGCCGTCGCGCCTGCTTGCGCGACAGCCCTGACTGACGTTCCAGGACTGGGGTCGCGCCGACGCCACGGGTCGCCATGGGGAACAGCTCAAACTCTTCCATTAAGGACCCCAGCCCCTCATTGCGTTGGACCCTCATCAAGAGGGAGAACTGCTGCTGGAGCCAAGAGCCGGAGCTCCCGAGGAACCGGCCATTGCGGAGCTGCTCGGCGAGTTCTGCACTTTTAAGCCCCCGGACTAAACCCCGAAAGTCTTCGTCGCAAGCTCGGCGACTCCGCGGAATTACCTGCGTGGGAGTGGCGAGAGCAAGAGACGAGGAAGGGGTGGCCGCCCGACCTGGACATCTGCTTCCACTACAGAGAGAAACGCATCGAGCATGGCGCTGCACGAATTCGCGCGAGAAGAGACGCGCCCACTCCGCGACAGCACAAGCCACAGTCGCGGCGACTTTACATGGCACAACTGCCTCCGTGCACCCCTCGGGGCCAGGAGGGCGCGAGCGCTGCGCCGGGTCTCGAATGCTCGGAGGCGCGGCAGCGGGCGCAGTATAGTGTCCGCTCTTGGGACCTAAACGCGCCCCAGCGATGGGCCTGCTGAACTGCCGCGCAAAACGGACGTCGCGGACCTGCGCGGCGAGATTGAACGCCCTCGCCTGCCCCCCCCCCGCCGCCGTCTCGCGCCCCAACGTTAAGTGCGCGAGCGTGCCGGCCCAGCTTCTTTTAGAGTTCGCTTGCAGCAAGCCAGCGTCGCCCGCGGGGGCCTCGGAGATAAGGGTGCGCGACCCGCGACTATTCCAGGCGAGCCTTTCCAGCGCCGCCCAGCTCCGCCGCTATCGACCTGGCCAAGGGGATCTCGGAGCGCATCCGCGTCAGCGGATCGCAGTACTTCGTTGAGAGCGTCCCAGCTGCCGTCATCATCATGCCGCTTGAAGGCCGACTGCAGACAAATGGTCTATGGAGTTCTCTGAGGCCCAATCGTCTAGACGCCTAACGAAGTCGAAGTAGCAGTCGCGCTCACGGCTCAGGGCATTCATCATCTTTGAAAATTGTATCGCACGCGGCTCTGATCTTCCCAGTGGCAGCTCTGGATGCTCAAATCGGCGACCAGCGATGCGCGGTCCACGCTCGCATAATCGCGACCGCCAACTGTGTTTGGTAGCCCGCGCGCCTCCACACGTGACGTCGAACGACACGTACTAGCTCATCTAGTAGAATAGCGATGTCGCCGATCATCCTGCAAATGTGGCCCTCGAAGGAAGTGGGACCGCACCCTTATCAAAACGAGCGTTGGTTAAGGCCATGCCACGACGGTTCAGCAAGCGCCGATACTGCATGCCGTTGGAATTCTCAGGTTCGACGCCGAAATGCCCGACCGCGTCTCTATATCTATGTGCCATTCCGAGTTGAAGCGCTCCAGGCCGACTTGAGAATTGACACCCGGCGTCGCCCAGTGGGTGCAGCGAGTGGGCAATTCTAGAAGAATTGAATGCATCCAGGAAGTACGCTTTAGTAGCATCTTGCGGTCGCTCTTATCCTCGGGAAGGGAAGCGCCTGGACATATATGAAGCACAGAGCGGAATGACCATGCCAACGAGAGCGAAGTGCCCCACCACGTCCTTGCATCGCCTCTGGCGTGCGCCATGAATGCGCGAAATGAGCCCAGCCGAACAGTTTCTTGTCGACCGCGATCATGCAACCCGTGGAAATGTCGGCAAGGTCCTGTCTCCTCCGTCTCCGAGCCTGCCTTTCCGCAGCTGAAGTCGGCCACGGGTACGCGTCGTAGCCCTTCATCGAAACGCGCAGCTCATGCAGCGCGCCGTCACGCGAAACCTTCGCATGAGACTGGCCCGCGGCCGTCAGACTCATGACGCGGGCGCTAAAAAACGCCTCGAGGATCTCAGGCAGACCCTTCTTGAGCGAGAGAGCCGGAGGAGCATGCGGATTGTGCTGACGAGCCGCAGACGATGCCGGGGTGCAGCAATGGCCATGAAGATGCTGGACGCCAGCAGGGCCCACAACATGTGGCTGGGCTCTTTACTGCATGCCACCTCGCGCTCCACTTGAACGAGTGAGCCCCCCTCCTGAACAACCCAGGTTCGCGCCCAGGAAGCTATGATGATGTTGATGGTGATCGTCATGATGATGTTGTTGATGATGGTGAGGATGATGAGGACTCTGATTACGATATTCTGCATGCTAATGATGATGATGATGATGGTGATGATGATGATGATGATGATGATGATGATGATGATGATGATGATGATGATGAAGGATGACGGGGGTGCTGAAGGATGATGAAGGATGATCATGGACATGGTGGTGGTGACGCCGATGGGCAGTGGTGATGAGGATGATGGTGATGATGATGATGATGATGATTACGACGATTGTGGTGATGATGATGGAGAGGAACAAGACGGCGAAGAGGAGGACGACGACGCGATGAGCTTCGCATCGTCGATGCATCGGCAAGACGGCGTGAGTAAATCGGGCTCCACATCGAACCGCATTCACGATGCATCAGCGACGCGGCGCGACCCCCCGACCGCATCTACTCGGACCCCATCAGGGAGGCCTAAGTATCTGGCTGCTTCTCTAGCGTAGTTCCCCGCATAGTTCCTTGGTGGGCTCAGATGGTCGAGATTACGTAGACGCTGGCAAGCACATGTAGCCCATCCTTCTCCCGTTGACGGGCTGGCAACGTCGCAGAAACCCGCTTGAAGTTGCAACGTGTCCCAGCAGCGTCTTCCCGCTCGCTCCCAGCACGCGCGCCGCAAGAGCCTGTGCGGAATTCCTTCGCAGCGCCTCCTGGGCTCGCGCGCAGCTGCCGGGCCATTTCGAGCCAACTTCCTCGCCAACATTGGGCGCCCGAGTTATCCGGGGTACTCGGGTCCGGGGTAACTCGGGTTTTTGGATTCCCGAAAAACGAACCCGAGTTATCCCTGACCCGAGTTACCCATGATGATGTGGGGGCTCTGGAACGCCCTGAATTTATCCGGGGTAACTCGGGGCCCCGGGTAACTCGGTTTCCGGTCCCGAAAAAGGAACCGAGTTAGCCCTGACCCGAGTACCCCTGATGATTCGGGGCTCTGGACAACATCTCTTGCCACTTCCTCGCACACCGTCTCCACCAACTTTCCCGAGATCCGGTGTGCCCGTGCTGGCTGCTCCGCGACCCGGGCTCCGACGCCACTCCTTACTCCAGATTTGGGGAGGGTACTCCAGATTTCGTAATAAAAGGGAAGGGGTCTGGACCCTCCAAGACAAGCCATTTCAGACCTCCCCCGTGGGAGAACCCTCCAAAACATCGTCCCCAGACCCCCCAGGCCCTCCAAGATAGCCTGGAAGAGACCCCCCCCCGAAATGAGACCCCCTCCTTTTATTATGAAATCTGGAGTATCCTCCTTTGCTCCTTCATCCTCCTCCTCACCATCGCATCCTCGAAGCTTGCTTGGTTGGGCCTCTGGTTTGGCCTGGTTTTGCTGGGCGCCCCTTTGTCTGGTTGGGCCCCAGTTTGGGCGGGTTGGTGGCCAGTTTCCCCCGACATCTCACAAATTGCCTGGTCTACACTAGTTTCGGCGAGGTGTCGCCCTGACGTCTTGGCACTGTGCCTGGTTTGGCTCAGTTTCTGCGCGGTATCGCTTGAGATGTCCGCACGTTTCCCTGGTTTGGCCTGGTATGGGCGCGGTTTCGCCTGAGATGTCTTTGCGGCTTGCCTGGTTCGGACGCGGCTTCACTTGAAACGCCGTCACGATTCGATCGGTTTGTTATGGTTCGGCGAAGGCGTCGCCTAGAGTGTCCTCATGCTTGGCCTGTTTTGATATGGTAGCGGCCGTACGATTCGCTGATCAGGTCCACCGCGCGAACACAATGATCGCTAGCCGGCAGACACCTCCACCATCACCCAACTGGGGTGGTCATCCATCCTCCTCCTCGTCCTCGTCCTCGTCCTCGTCGTCGTCCTCCTCCTCCTCCTCCCCCTGCACCCCCTCCTCCTCTTCATCCCCCTCCTCCTCCTCCTCCTCATCCTCTTCCTTCTCCTCCTCCACCTCTTCCTCCTCGGCCTCTTCCACTTTCTCCATTTCCCCCTCCACTCCGATCTCCCCGTCCCCTCCGTTCCCTTCCTCTCCCCCCCTCCCGCCCCCTGGCACGTACGTATCACCCGTTTCCTCCTCCTCCTCCTCCTCCTCCTCCTCCTCCTCCTCCTCCTCCCACCCCCCTCCCGCACCGAGCGCCTCCCCCCCCCCGCCGCTCCTGCGAGGTACGCCGCGGACCCGGCCAAGGCCAGAGCGCCGCCCGCGCCGCCCAGGAAGCGGAACGGGAGCATGGCCTCCAGGGACGTCCCGAAGGCCGTGCCTAGGCACCTCGCGGGCCTCGTCGTCGTCGTCGTCGGCGTCGTCGTCGTCGTCGGCCGTTCGTCGTCGTCGTCGTCGTCGTCGTCGTCGTCGTCGTCGTCGTCCATCGTCGTCGGCCGTCGTCGTCGTCCATCGTCATCTGCCGTCGTTGTCGTCGTCGAAAGAGGAAGAGGATGAGGAGGCGGGGGAGGAGGAGGGAGGAGGGAAGAGAAGGAGGAGGGTGAGAGGGAGGATTATGAGGGGGATAAGAAGGAAGAGGAAGACGGATGATAGAGAAGGAGGCGGGGGGAGAAGAGGGGATGGGAAGGCGAGACGCAGGGAGGAAGGAGCGGGAGGAGAGAAAGAAGGAGAAGAGGGATAAGGCATGAGGGCCGTATGAAAGAGAGAGAGGGACGAATGAACATGGAGGAGCAGGAGTGAGGAGGGACGAGGGGCAGGGAGGAAAAGCGCAAGGGGGCCGTGAAAACGAGGACGAGTGGGCGGGTAGCATGTAGAAGCGGAGTTGTAGAACTCACTGTAGCGGTGGCATTACCAGTGGCAATCTATACAGACGCATTATGGAGTGGTAGGAGTGGCCAAACTACGAGTGGTAGAGCTGATAGAGCTGGTACGCGGCAACGTAGCACTCGTGGTAGGATCCGCCACCGTGCCTTCGACACGTCGTGGAATGCCCCAAGGCTCATACAATTGTGCGTCGCAGAGGAACTGCCGTCTTGTCGGCTTGCATTACCGATTGTCGCGGCATTCCTGTAGGCCTACGATGTTTCTGGAACGAAAGACTGTTCTAAGAGCAATGCAAGCTCTTTTAGAAGATACATTGGACGGAATGAAAAACACATTACTGTCTCAGTCCAACATGTTCTAACATGTCGTGCAAACCGAACTCGATTCGTCACTGCTCGGGTGGACGCCCGGAGTAGGTACGGTACAAGGCCCAACCGCACATGTTGCCCCAAAGCGACAAATGGCCGCTGTTGGGCAGGCGGCCTCCTGTCGCAAATGATCAACGTCCGCGGCGTGACTGACAGAGAGTCCTGTTCAAGATGAGCAGGGATTGCTGTCGGTCGTTGTACCCGTGTTCTCCGTACCCTTTCTGATCGTCCCGAGCCTGACTCGTTGGGGACGCACTGACCCAAGTCAACGCAAACCTGGGTCAGTCGGGCTTTGCAGGATCCTGCAATATCCTGCAGGGTCCTACAGGATCCGGCGCGCTAGCCCAGGTCAATGCAACCCCTGCCCTGCAGGATCCTGCAAGATGCGGCACGCTGGCTGATCCCCGGTTTGCATTGACCTTAGGTCGGGCATGTCCTCCTACAGGCGTCTTTTTGATGATAAATACCAAATAATCAAAATAAATGCTCCAAAATACTAAATAAATGATCGGAAAATCGTCCCGCGCGCCGACGCGCGCGGCCATGCACGACTCTAGGAGTACGCCCAAGACTAGCGGAGCGAAGAATGACATAAGCATAGAAACTCGGAGGTCCTCGCGGATTTCTCGGATCCGCGCTGGACCCCCCCTGGCGGCGCCTCTCGCGCCGCTCCTGGCGCAGTCCGAGCGCCAGGAAGGGGGGGACCAGCGCCGATCCGAAAAATCCGCGCGGACCTCCGAATTGTTACGTTTACAGGCGGACTCGATTGGACATGACACGCGAGAGGACACAAGACCCTTCCGAGGGCCACATTGCCACAGGAATGTAGGAAGCATGGGTCGCGAGACACAGGACACAATGATACCCTTGATTTGGCAGGGTCGACCTACTAATCTGGGATAATCTGGGCCGACTGCATGTGATTCTTCGGTCCCTTAAAGACGGTCCAAAGCTCGGGAGCGGCCAAAACGGGGGTGTCCAAGAGGGAGGGGTGCAAATCATGACCGGCGGCACGTACGTGCGCGGCCTTGCGGGGGGGGGCCTGGGACGTAATGAAATCAGAAGAGGCGCCATGAAATCTGGGGAGATATCGTGGCCCCCGCCATGATATCCACCCCCCCTCGTCATCACCCCCCTCTTTGCCGCCCCCGAAAAACGGGCCCCGCGAAACTTCCCAAAATGGCCCGGGGAGGGCCCCGAGTCGGCCGAAAACCGCCGAGGGGCGCCCAAGATGGCAGCCAGACGGCGCGGACGGCGCCCAAGAGGCCAGGATCCCTCCCCGAAGGTTCCGCGAGGTCAGAATCGGATCGACCGGTGGTTCTTGAAGGATCTGAACCTTTCGCCTTTTTGGGACTCCGGCGCGCAAGATTGCCCCGCGAGGCCCCGAAAATCGCCCGAGCGCAAGAGGCCACAAAGACGGGAAATGATGGCCCCAAAAAGGCCCCAGGATGGCCGCAGCTCGGAAGCGTGGGCCTTCCCCCTCCCCCATCATGCCCTTGGACGTGCCCAGGGGTTCGTCTGGGGCATTATTGCGATGCGGATTCAGCCGTGACGGGAACCCACCCTGGAGGCCCAACGACGACACCAACAACAACAACCACAACGACAACATCAACATCAACCGCAACAGCAACAGCAACAGCAACATCAACAACAACACCACCATCAACAACACCAACGCCACCAACAACAACGTCAGCATAATAAACAGAAACAACAACAACATCAACGACAACATCAACAACAACTACAACAACAACCATTCTAAGACTGCTCGCTCCTATCTGCCCGCGTGTCATTCACTATGCATATCCCAAACTCCGGACACCCGCACTCTTCGTATTCGATCGTACCCCTCTTGGGGGGTTATATTTCTTCCCGACCAGGTGTACTTGGAGAAGCGCGGGAGGCGAACCCGCAATCAGAGGCAGCGAGCTCTGGGACTTGTCGGTGAGACCCCATTTCACTTGTCGCAAGCAGATATCAGCGGCAATCCACACTGAGACCCCATTTCATTAGCCATAACGCTGGAGTCACTGCGTGCAGGAAAGCCAAACACGGCAGTGGACAGTGTTGTCGCCCATCGGCCCCGCGGGAAATGAAGTCGGAGCCCGACGTCATCAATCACATTGCTGGGAATCGCGCGTGCGGGAATGTGATCAGCTATATACAAGAACGAAGCGCCACTGCTACAGCGCCAGGATCTGCTTGTGCGAAAAGGGTAAGCCTCAGCAGCAGGCACTGGCGATGCTGCTCAGCGTGATGTGGAAGGCGACGCTCAAGGAAACGTGGGTGGTGAACTGGGGCCTGCCGTCGCCGGCCACGTTGGGGTGAGAGCTCTGGCAATGTTCGGGGGCACATGGGAGACGATACCCAAGCCGAACGTCACCAGCTGCAGCGCTGGTACCGGCGCGTGCGCGGCAGGCCCGTTGTCCCAATGGGCCCTGGCGCTGCCCAGCGGGATGTTCAGGGCGAAGTTGGAACCCGATGGCAACGCCGAAGCCCGCTATCATCAGCTACAGTGCTGGATCAGCACGTGTGGGGAAGTCCTCGGATACAGCGATGGTGTGATAAAGATGGCTAGCGCGTGTGAAAAAGACGGGCAGCGGCTGGTGGTTCTGGTGTTCGTCGGCATGATGTGGACAGCGAGGCCGGAGCCCAACGTTATCTCAACTACAATGGTGGAGCCAGGCGCTCCCGCCTTGTGGGGGTTGGGCGGCATCGCTAGTGCATGCACTTGCGATGTGCGCTGGCACCCGTGGGTTGAGGTGTGCGCTTGGAAGGGGCGATATCAATTCGCCGGCCCAACGGGCCAGGCGTGCTAAGATCTCCGGTAGCTGATAAATAGTATTTCTAGTTCGCGCGCGCGAGGCGGCCCCTGGGGGTCCCCGGACGAAAAGTACCCCGGTCAAGTCCGGGTCAGGTCCCGGTCGACTCCCCCAAAGCGCTCCAGGAGCGCACCAACAGGGCTCCGAGACGTCCCCGAAAGCCGCAAAAAGGGCCACGAGGCCCCAAAGGGGCCTCCAAGATGGTACACGATCAGCGTAGGGGGTGCCTGCGTATGAGAAGGGAGGGTGAGGGGGAGGCGGAGGGGGAGGAGGAGGAGGAGGAGGAGGAGGAGGGAGGAGGACGATCAGCGTAAGGGGCGCCGCCGAGTTTCAAATATGTTGTAAATTCCTTGTGTTTCTTGCACCTGACCCCGCCGATCTGCGTGAGGGGTGCCACCGATGTTCGAAAACGTTGCCAATCCAATGTGTTTTTTGACCCTGACCCCGCCGATCTGCGTGAGGGGTGCCACCGATGTTCGAAATCGTTGCAAATCCCTTGTGTTTTTGAGCATGACGTCGCGATGTGCGTGAGGGGTGCCACCGACTTGCAGAATTCCAAGGATGTCCCAAGCGAAACGGCCGGAAAAATCCCGGACGCGGCCGCGCGGGGCCGCGCGGCCGCGCGTACGCATTAATCGCCTCTGAACTCTATTCCCTCGGAGAGGCGCGTATGAGAACAATTATTAAAGAATGAGAGTTTGAAGGAGGTCCCAGGCAGGCGCCGTTATGAGAGTTCAACGTAGCTCAGTTGTGCGGGAGGTCCCAGACGGGAGCGCCGTTCCTTGAGTAAATTGTGCGGAAGTCTCAGGCGGGAGCGGGGGTCCTGAGTAAATTGCGAGGAAGTCTCAGGCGGGAGCGCCGATCCTGAGTAAATTGTGAGGAAGTCTCAGGCGGGAGCGGGGGTCATGAGTAAATTGTGAGGAAGTCTCAAGCGGGAGCCGTTGTTGTTGTAATCCGGGGGGGCAACAACGCAGTTTGAGGATCAAGACTATCCCTGTCAAAAAACAGGGTGCGAGCGTCGAGGGGCGCACTTTGACTGAGAAAAAACAGTGTGCACCGGCAGGGGGGGATCAACAATAATTATTCTTCAGAAATGAGAATTCAACAACAACAACAACAACCACAACCACAACCACAACCACAACAACAACAACAACAACAACAACAACAACGACAACCACAACCACAAGTACTACACCAACGGCAACAACAACTACACCAACATCAACCACGCAAACCACAACAACAACACCAACAACAACAACCACAACAACAACAACCACAACAACAGCAACATCAACAGTAACAGC